GTGGGGCTGGGTGGAGAGGGGAGGGTGGGGAGGGGCTGGGTGGGGAGGGACGGGCTGGGTGGGGAGGGGAGGGTGGGGAGGGTGGGGCTGGGTGGGGAGGGGCTGGTCACCCCGTGGTGCCCTTATAAAACTCAACGTTTAACCTACTCACGCCGGCTTGTGCCCGCCCTCACAGTCGGGCATATTTGCGGAATACACCACGTGGTGCCGCCGTTGACCCTGGCCATTGACCGAGCAACCCAACGTTCCTACCAGCTCCCTCCGCAGGAATGTGTTGCAGCCCTCTTTTTTAGTCAATCCTCTGTTGGACAAAGACCCCGCCCGCGCTGAGTCAATAACGGGGATTGTGTGACTATACTTCACCACGCTGGTCGCAGTGCGGGTTAGCGAAGTTGAGTGGTTTAGATATCACCCACCTGCTGATGTTAGCCATTGCTGGGAAATGAACCCGGGTCGTCTGGTGTTAACCACCGTGCCACTGCTTCACCCCTCGTATTAATTTAAAGCAATCTCAGAAACCGAGCGCTCGCCACTCGGTGAAGCCCGTTATCAGAGCTCACTACCTGATGAGGCGCAAAGCAATTTGAGTAAAACGTCGTGATCGCGTGTCGATGTCACAATCAGTTATGAACGATGCTAAACCATCGGTGAGGAGGAGCTTTGTTGGTCACCATGTGTCTGTGCGTGTAGGCAATTTCTTTGGCGAGGTGACAATCTTGTCAGGTGGCGGAGGGATGTTGACAATAATAGTGACGTGAAATTGCCACTTCGCCCAACCCCAAAAAACAAATATGGACGTGTATCTGTTTTCGTCGAACATATCCTTCATAGGTACCTCGACAACCTTTATATTTTTTTAATCAAAAGCCTTCCTTCACAAAACCCATTCCATCCACAGCGTGGTCTATGCTGACTTTCATCTTTTCATTTCAATCCGGCCTTCTGATTGACTAATGTGACCTTGGCACATTCTCCTGCTTGGCATTCTGGATGGAGTGAACTAAATTTATCTGGATTATTATGCTAAGTAGTACCTCCTCGAACCTAATATGGAGCTCATTGTTTGGAATATTGACTTGCCATTTCACCTTTAAGAATAAAATGAATGGATTCTGAACTTATTAGAAATTAAAATGTGCAGGCATTCCCAGTGTATACATTGTTCCTTTAATGCAAGAAATTAATTAAATATTCTGAGTTCGTTTCTTAAACCAATTCACACCCACTAACCCCAAACCATTTGTCCACTCCTAATGTCCATCCAGTTAAACTTAAACAATGGCATTCCATGGAGTTTTCTGTAATTATAAAATCACTCTCTGTTCCCCCCCCCCCCTGGTGCACGTGGCAATACAAATTCTGTGAATATATGTATGAGAATCCCGATTTACATCAGTTGTCTGCTTTTTTGTGCAGCCTTGACAAAGTCAGAAGGATGATTACGTCTCAGTTGGACTTCAAGATCAGCAGACGTTTCTAACCAAGATGTTATTTCAGAACGTTCCGTCGTTTCTTAAAAAAATATCTAGTGGTCCACAGTATTCGATGTTGTTGCTTCCTCTACAAGCTACAAATACTGCCATCATCATCAGCCACTGCATATCTGCTGCTAGATTAAGGCACCCCCATGCTGTCAACGTCCCTCATGGTCTTGTGATGCCTCAATCTATCTCACTTCTTCACAAAAGCTAATCCCATTGATCCACATCCATGGTGACCATCATCTTTGGTGCATCTTCTCCTTTGGATACCATTCCTTAACCAGTCTGGTCTATCAGCCATCACGCCTTCAAGCAATACATTTTTACAAAGCCCACTTATTTTCTTTATCTGTCAATATGTGTTTGTTCTCTGTTCGTTGTGTTCCACTCTTTGCCTCTCAGTGTGTTTCCAAGCATGAATTTCTCCATGTTCCTCTGGACACGTTTCCGTTTTTTCCCTCTCCATTTTATTTGCCAAAGTCTATGTTTCTGTACCCATATGCTATAGAAGCAGGGCTTAATTTCAGCCGGAGCTGTCTGGGGCTGAGCTACAGAAAATATTTCCCTGCCCCCCCCCCCACCCTTTTCTCTCCAGCTGTTGTGGTGCCCTTTAAAATACTCCATGAAAAATTAAGCCCTGCATCGAAGGTGATAATCACTCTTTTAAAAAGCTATTCCTCAGGCACACTTGTATGTTGCCTTTCATTATCACATTCAGTTTTACAACTGCACTCCACCTTGCACTTGTTCGCCTAATGATTTGAGAAATTTGATCCTGATAGGCTCTGACTAATTGGCTTAGGAATGCATATTCTTGTTGTGTTTTCCAAATGTGTCCCTTGATCCAAAATTAATGATATATCTTTTGTTTGCCAAACAAAGCTCTCAAATTTCCTCGAGGTGCCCCAGGTAGCGTTTCTAATTTCACAAGTGGTAGACATTTGATAGTAGATTCATCCCATGAGGTATTTATTTTGCAAGTTTTCTCTCTTTTTTTTTGCTTTTGTGAGAGGTCACACGATGGTGTGCACCTCTTGTGGCGTGTAGGGTCGGAATATTTTATGCAAAAACAGACACACGAAGGAAGATGACTGATGCGCGGTGAAATGACCCTGGCTCCGAAGGGAAAAATAAAAATAATGTTGAAAATATAAATGTCAGGCCAAACTGAGCTGGCACCGCTGAGATGCTGGGTTTGGATCCAAAAGTTATTCTTCTGACAACACTGGCAATCCTGTCTCTCGTTATCACATACATTTTCCCGAAAGGTACTTCTACATTATTTCAAGAGCACCTTGATTCAAACCAAGTTATCAATCGGATCAAGTTGATGGTCTCGGCCAGGTCATCAAGGACTGGACAACAAGAACAAAAACGCCGTAAAAAAAAATTTAGCACTAAATTTTCATCAATTGTAGCTCTGGGAATTGTCATGCTAATATTACAAATAATTATATGCCTCGAGTTTCCACGAATGGCTGAGTTGTCCAAGGGAAGCCCCAAGGCAGATTCAGATACCATTTCGATGTTAATAGTTGTCAAGAATTGAATTGGTCAAAGAGTTTCGAGGCGCAGTGTTCTGGCCAAACCGCTGCGTTGCAAACAGCACCTGCCCCGAGCGTAGACAAAGGTCCCACTTGTGTAAGTGTAAAACGTTGTGTATGTGGATCACTGCATAATACAGTAAAATGTGAACATATCTATAGCATCTACACAAAACACAAGTAGTTTACGCGCTATTCTAACCCTTGTTTAAAAATATCTGGACAGTTTAGCAAACATTTGAGAATGAACTGCAGTTTCCATTCCGCCTAACTTAACAAGCCTTAAATTTTGATTTAAAGCTTTCGTGACTACAGGGATTCATATTCTTGGTTCTTTCGGTAAAGTCACATCTGATGATGATTGCTTGTGTTGCAGTCGAAACATTGTGATAATTTTATTGTTTTATGTTTTTTATTATTTTATTGTTTCTCTTCTACGTGACTTTACCAAAAGAACCAATAATATTCACAAGCCTTGTCAAAAAACTTTTAGAAACGTCAAGATGCATCACATACCAATTCACCAATAAGAAGCTGCGCCTAATTACATTCTTCCGCTTGCAAAATTATTCAAATTGCTCAGACATTTGCCATGAAAGTGGATTGTAATTGATACCCGGATTATTTTTCGTGAAGAAAATTACATCCGCAAATTACAATAATTGAAAGGTACCTATGTTGACATGTTACTCATGGACTTGTGTAAGGGTTAATAATAGCATTCATTTTCATTGTTCTGAAAGCACTCCATGGAAATCTGTCTTCAGGAGTCCTGACGGCTTTTGAATGATGCAGGCAGATTGCACAAGGTCCTGTAGTGCAAATCTAGAAATAAAAAAACTACGCTATGTTTATGTAGAAAACGGCTATTGTTGATGAGGAATCATGGTGCAAAAGCCATCAGACAAGAGGTTATAGATTGGGCTATAATCCATTAGTCTGAACAGAAACAGGAGCGGTCCGTGGTTCACACAACTCAAAAAGGCGGTGGCTTTTCATTGCAGCTCATGCGCACAGACCATCCCAGTTATTTCGCCGCACGGTATAAAAATTGTGCAAGTGGTGAGGAGGCTACTTGCTTCGATTAAACTAAAATTATTGCAGAGGTCACACATCTTAAAAACAAATATTCCCACATATGCGCTGTTATACCATGCAGAGTAGCGAAAACAATTAAAAGTAATAAATCAGGAATGTTTTCATCGCTCCGTTTGGATATTAGTCTTGGAAAATTATGCGGGTGGGAAACATATTTGATGAGTGCGGTGGGGATTTTTTTTTGGGTTTTCGCTGGTCGGTCGTGTTCATTGCTCGTGGCCTCTACAAAAAAAATCAGGGGATGTTAATGCCTTGGTATTGATCGACAAATTCCACTGGCCACTCAATGTGCGACAACGGAGCTTACAAAGTATTCTCTATTAAATTTCGCTCCGAAAGTTCAAGGTAAAGCAGTGTGTCCTGACTTTTGCTGAAACGTTGTTCAACGTTGTCCTATTTTTCTTGTCCGTCCCTCGTGCTATTTGGTCTCAATGTTTTTATTCTATTTTCGTGAATTAAATCTATCTGAAAATTCAATTTGCTGCTTGAATGTTAGAATGCATTGCACTACTTTTGTCCCATGATCCCCGCACAAAGCTGCTCATACCAAATACATTTAAAAGTACTGGAAGGACCTGTGACCTTGGTTGTTATGTATGTTGCTTGCCTTGGACAATCAAGCGATTTTTGAAAAAGTAGTCAGTCGTTGAATTGCTTTCTGTATATATGAAAAAATGGGGATGTAAAAATATGGTCTGAAAAGTATTTTTTGGTCTTTTCTCCCAATGTAATTTCCAGTGCTCTGCAGTGCAATGCTATGAGACAAAGGATCCATTTTGGAAGAGGAATATTAAGATAAATATTATATCAGCAAAAAGAAATCGCTGCGACTTTAATCTTGGCGCCACATTGGAGTGCTGTTTTTCTCTCGTTAAAGGTGGACCCGGTGCAAAAGGCCGTCATCACGCACACGTTTGGAGTACCCATTTTACCTCGCCGGAAACACAGCTACTCCTGCAGCATCTGCCAGACAAGGTTCAACTCGGAGGTGCCCGTTGCATGCAAAAGAGCCACATCACGCCTGAAAGCCCCCGGTGGAGGCACTAGCATTCCCCCGCAAATTCTTTCAAACAATAATTTATTCCATCACGTGAACTGTTGCATAAAGTGGCCACGATTTTGTAGACTTAAAATTCCTCCCGTTTTTTGTATTTAGGTATTTTGAGGTGGAAGTGCTGTTTTTTTTTATTATGACTGCATGAGTCACAGAGCTGGCCCGTGATTAAGCATATGGCAAAGCAGTTGTTGGAATTTCAAGGGCATGTATCTGAGACCGAGGTTAGGAATTTTATGGCACGACCGGGTAAGAAGTGACGTATAATTATTGAAGAGAACGTGGCATGTGAGTGTTGTAGATGCGATTGGGCAACAAAGGACGTGCTGGGTAGGACACATGCGCAGGATGGAAGATGGTCGGTTCCAAAGGCAGGCACTGGAGTGGTCTCCATGGATCCGGCAACCAATGAGCAAACTCCGTTTAATACATCGGCTGTCGCGACCAATGTTATCCACAATTAAGGTTTTTAAGACCGAGACAGGAAGAATCATTCACAATTCTGGCTCATCGCCTGATGAAGCAGGTTGTTGTGATCACCAGCAAAACGTCGTACTCGAATTGTAAATGCTGTGGGTATACTCTACAACACACCAGTGTGCTGAACTTGTAACTAGCTGGCATGTGGTGGTAGGTTTAAGAATACGTTTATATTCACACGATCGAACCCAACGAAACCCCCTTTATTATGAATGGGGAAGACCTAAGGCCAGACTGTGGGGCATATCTTAGAGGTCGCGTTTCTACGGTGCAGCGGCTTTGGGAGATGTGATAGACGGTAGACAGGGTTAGCTAAGTGTGGTTGGATCAACAGCTTTGGCCTTGATGACATCGTGATCTTGAAATTCCTTTATGAACCCTCTACTGCTGGGCCAACACCAGCATGTGTTTGCTTTTGAAAATACTGAGGTGTGAATGTATCTCTTTTTATTGCACATTTTTATTCAAATATCTCTCCTTCTGCTTATTGTCTTGCAGGTTGAAATTTCAATTGAGTTTTTCAGATCTTGTTTTGTAAAACCATAAACATACCTTCCCCCCCTCCTTCCCATCTTCCACCGACATCGCATGACGCACCGACACACACTCACTCGTCAGATGGAAACAGCACTCCCCGGCCATGTCACGCATTGCTCATGCTCTGTATGGTGCATCGTTGTTGCCTCGTTGTTGCCTCTGCCAACAGGAATTAAGAATTTCGCCACGAGCATAAGCGTAGCGTGCATCCCTACTACTATTTAAGACGTTGATGCCATTTTTATTTATCTCCTCGATTGGAAAATGTTTTTCATGTGTTGTAAATTTGAGTGTTGAACCACCAGCCATCACGCATACACAGTAACATCTGTTTGTACGGCGTGCGCTGTGAGTGTGCTTGCACGTTTACGTGAGTGCAGATGGTAGAGGCGCATCAAGTGGCACTGTTTATTATTTACTTGAATATTCTGCGAATTTGAAATTGAAGCAGAGTAGTAATTTTTTTTGTCAACGTGTTATTTTCAAGAGACCGAAATCGCCATCTCCCCTTGTGTCTGTGTCCATCTGCCTCTCTCTCCGTCTCTCTGTCTCCCTCTGTATGGCTCTCTTATCCCTATCTCCCTGTCTCTCTTGCTATTTTCCATCTCCCTCATCCTTCTCTTCTGTCTCCCTCTGTGTTTTTCTTTTTCTGATTCGCTATCTCTGTATTTCTCTCTTTCTCTTTTTTGCCTCTCTCTGTGTCTCTGTCTTGTTTCTCAATGTTGTAAGGTCGCACTCAGTACACACAAAGTGCTTGCCACAAATTAACCACAATACCTTTCAGATCACTTCAAAGGGGCATAAACCATCATGCAAACTCCTGCCATCCTCGCAGTGGCGGCCTTTGGCTCGCCATTGAACAAAAGACGGTCACTGCATCACGCGCTTTCAAATGCGCTTCTGCGGCCGTCTGGAATGCTCTCCGTTCCAATATTAGGAAACCACTGGAGCAATTCACTTTTAAGTCTAGATTTAAAACGAATTTCTTTAGAACTGCTTTCCCCGCACCTCCGTTTAGCACGGTTGGCTGCGTACGGGGCGAAAGAAGTGCAACATACATACGTATCTACTGCTTTCGGTTTCCCTGTGTCTCTGTCTTTCTTGCTGCCTCACCATTTGTTTCTGGTGAGGGTTGTTGTTGCTGCTGTTGCAGCTCCCATTCTCTGCGCTCCCCACATTCTTTCCCACCCTGCATGCAGCATTGCCGTCATGGTCACATGACGGATGGCCCCGCAGTGCTCAAAGCTAATATTCAGCTCCGTATATTTTACTCGCTTCAAATGGGCTGAGCACAAATAAAAAAAACAGTCAGTATTTGACGAGTTCCCCCTAATATATAGACGCTTTCTTTTCCAGGTAAGACCCGATGAGCTATATAGCTTTTTTTCAGAATGGACCTGGCCACAAATTATATCTCAATGAAGTGGCGTATCATGTGGTAATTTATAGGAGCCAAATACTCCAAACGCATGTTTCTAAGTGTGGAGGGATAAACCGGAGAAAAATCCACGCGACCACAAGGAGAACATGCAAAGCACAAATATGCAGGCATCAGGGTCGGGATCGAACCCACGAGCTAGTTAACATATTGCCACCGTGGCACCCTTTTGAATCCTGGCCCTGGCTAAAATCAGTGGCAAGTGACATTTGAACCAGTCCTAGGCACCGCATCTTTCCCAACCCCGTAATTAACCTACATGTATTTGCTCAGCATGGTGAAGTATGGTCAAATAACCTTCATCCAGCGGTATATTGATAAAGGGCTGTACATTATTGGTATTTATGCAAGAAAATAGAAAACCATTAAGTAGGTTGAATAAACCTGGCATCACACGATCCGGGCAGCCCATCATCCAGCAGTGAATAGACAATCGCTGCTAATGATAATGATGATGAATAATAACGGTAAAGGTGCAGCCCGTCAATTTCTTGCTCACGCCACTGCTGGCAGAAAGGGCCTCCACGAGAGTGAGGTTTAGAGGGTATTGGGTCTACTCTTCTACGCTGACCAGACACATTTAAATATTTTGTGTATTGTTTGTCGTTGTAACTTTCTGGCCCGCCCCTGCTGGACCTCTTTGAAAAATTGCTTTATAGCTCATTGGATTTTTCCAGGATAAATAAAGATTCTGATTCGGAAGTAGGAGTATCAACACTTCACTCCCCCGTGAGCTTTATGTGGGTTAAATGCAAAGGCAACTTGGTGAATCTCAGCACTTAAAAGAGGTCCTTCTGTGTATGTTTTTTTGATGGTCAAGCTGCACGTTTATTGTGTTCAGTGATGTGTGTGTGCATGCGTCTTTTTTTTTTCCCCAGACCCAAGCCATTGCTCACTTCAAAGGAAACAAGCATGCCAAGAGACTCAAATCACTCGAGGGTGGAATGCACAAACAGAGTAAAAGTTCTGGCAAAGATGAAGTTAAGCGGAACGGAGCATCTAAACCTGACTCTATGGCCGATAAAGGCCCCAACAAAGCGATAAAAAAAATACCAAAGTATCACAGTAAGCCGCATTCCTTGTTTTTAAAACATTAATTTGCAGATGTTTTGTTCAAGTAAATGTTTTTTTTTTATAAATTGAGCTGGCAATAAATCGTTCAAGTGGGTGTGGTAGGCACGAGAAGATATATATTGCATTAGTCTGTTTAATCTTCTCATCACCACACGTGGAATATGTCACTGCTTAAATACAGCGGCTTAATTAACTAGCCAAGTGGCTCAGTGGTAGAGCGAGTGGTTCACATTCGGAAAGTTGTGCATTAATATTTTGGTCAGGAGTTGACTCCACTCATCTTCTCTGGGGTTGATAAAATAACTACCACTTTGTGGTAGACTCACACCCCACCATATGGATGAGAGAGATGGCTGAGAAACTCGCTCCCACCGTGCCAATGCTCAGATTAGCAAGTAATCACTGTGAATTTAACTTTTTCAATACTGTTAAACTTTCTATGCATGAATAATATATAATTTCTTTATATATGAGGAAAAAAATTCGCACAAATGTTATTACCGTAGTATTTTATCAACAGCTAATATTGGACTCGGGGGGGGATAGATGGGCCAGTATTGTGCAACAACAAAATATAAGGGCCGTATAATTTTGTGAAGGAATGACGATTTCTCAGGAAATGGAACTGGCAACCATTGGCGTGAAAATTATGTAGGCGTTTAGAGTAGCGTAGCAATCATTGTGGCTGCCAAGAAAAAACATATTTGGCCGAAATTAGCTTTTACTTAATAAATAATTGAAGGATTTTTTTTCGTGTAAAAATGTTCCCTCCAGTCTCGCCAGCTATCAACTTTCTGGCAATAACCGAGCTGGTTTTGCATCACACGATGCTTTGCAAATATGACGATGGGGCAAACTTAATAATGGAGCTGTCATGGAGTCTGTGTAGTTAACTCGGAATGTTCCCATCGTGGCCCCTTCTGAATTCTCTGCTCACATTGTGCATTCTTTTTGGATTGATCTTCAGGGAGATCTACCATCCTCCTCCTACCTTTATCACCTCGTTTTACTTCGATTTAATCCCACAACGAAACCCATAGTGTGGTGTATATATGTATTCATTAATGAATATATAAGTAGTGACACGCGTTAGCTTGTTTGCATTAACAGGTGTTTATTGTTCATTAGGGAGCATTTAAGGAGCATTTCAAATGTAATATTTCACTTGTGCAGAGTGAACAAAAATATATCCATAAACTTAATTACGTGAAACCAAGAGCGTCTTGAGTGGTGTGACAATGGAATTTTGTTTTCACACTGAATTCTATTTTAAATTTATACGAAATTATGATGATGCCGATGATTATGGTGACGGTGATTCAATTTCAGACGCCCGCACAATTAATACGCCTATCAAAACATTGTTTTTGACATGTGAGAAAAGTAATATTAAATATGTAAATTGCCTGCCTAATTACATTGGTTGTAATTGTATATCGCACATCTTGGTATTTACCTCGTGGGCCCTATGTTTCAAAGTCCCAAGGTATGCTGTGTGCATGTGATCATGTCACCTTAGTCGATTTACAAAACCAGAATGACAATTAAACCTACAATCAGTTGGTCTAAGGCTTGTACTAAGCAGACTGAATTTCTTATTAGATACTGCATTTTTGTATATTAAGCACTTTAATATTGCCAGTTTCCAGGGAAATAAGGCATTTATGAGAAAGTTTCGATTTAAAGCTTTCGTGACTGCAAGATTCATCTTCTTTGGTTCTTTCGGTAAAGTCACGTAGGCCACAACACAAGTGGCCGAAACGTCGTGAGAATTTTATTGTGTTATTTAATTTTTATTAATTTATTATTTTATTCTCATTCTACGTGACTTTACCCAAAAAACCAAAGAAGATTTATGAGAAAGGTTTGTTTATTTATTTTCCTATCGAAATCCCCCTTTTGAATTTAAACAGATTGCGTCATTGAGAAGGGCCTATGGGAATGTACCAAACAAAAACTTCCGCTTCATGCTGGTTCGGGGTGAATAATAAGCAAATATAAAATGTCTCAAATTTACTCAACAGTGATGTGCAATGGCCCATTAACGCTATATACGTTGGTGAGGATGCAGCCCTGCCATGTCTTGCTTCTGCCACAACTGTCGGAAGAGCCTCCATGAGATGGAGTTCCTGGGAACCAATCCGGAGGGGATTTTCGCCACATCTTCCACGCTTTACCCCACCATACTCGACCCGCAGATTGACTAATTGCCGTGGACACCACATATTCTGCAAACTGGACAGACGCAGTGGCATTTAAGAAACGTGCCCATCATTCCAACGGCTACGCCATTAGATTGAACCGGTGATCTGTAGTGCGGTAACCATTCTTCCACAGCAGCATCCTATATTTTGAGCCATTGTTAAATGTTCAGGTATTCCTTGCACTCGTTGAATGGATTATATTGTTAATTCTCTCACTTGATTTTCAGTGAAATCAATAAATCTCAATGTCGGGAGAGAGACGCACGGCGAGGGGAGAACGGTAGCAGAGCTGGACTCCGCGGATAAACCCTCCTCCCCAAGTACCGCCTTGGGTGACAACGGCAAGCTACCACAGCCAGCTCCAGCCTCTGCCTCTGGTGGAGGAGTTGGAGGAGTAGCAGCAGCAGCAGGAGGAGGAGGAGGTTTAGAAGGAGAAGGAGGTGGAAGCAGTAGCAGCAGCATCAGCAGTGTGAACAGCGGCACAGCCACGCTGGGCACGGAGACGGAGGACGAGAAATCGAAGCGCCTACTCTACTGCTCCCTGTGCAAGGTGGTGGTCAACTCGCAGTCACAGCTGGATGCTCATAACAACGGTGAGCCAGTCACGTGGACATTATCGGTGAAGGTCGACAAAGCGTTTGCAGCCCCACTGGTGGAAGGGCCTCCACTGTACGCAGCTCTAGGGGCTATTTTTGCCCCCCTCTTCCATGCTACCCAGACATCTTTTTAGAAGGAGTGTGAGTACAGAGACAAAGCTCCCCCGTATAGCCTTAACAGACTGTTGTGGCAAGTGCTGTTAGCGAGCACCTATGAAGGCCGGCACGGCACGCGAGGTGCTGGATGGCCAGCACCACGCCCGACCGCCTTTGTCTCCCTAGTAGCGATGTTTACACACCGCACCAGGTACTAATTTGAATCTGAGTCGACCTAGGGGGAGGCCCAGGACCAGTTCACTGGTGTTGGCCGTGAGCTGGAATCGAACTCGGGTCGCCGGGATCGTAGCGCAGCGTAGCGCTCACCGCTACGCACTACCGCTCCCCAGACTTTACCTCAGCACGCGTGACCTGCTGATCGACAGGTCATTTACCCATTTATTACCAATTTGTACCACTGGGTGGGCAGAGGCGAGGGGGTATAAAGACGTTTTGCACCGAGTGTTTCGGCTCCCGTTCGAGGAGTTTGGATATAACCGCCATCCTCCGGATTTGCAAGTTCTACGTGCTAACCCATTACAGCACCATGGCAGAAAACCCAGGGCATTGATGGCGGTGCTTAACATGAATCCCATAACATATACAGTACACTGTGTGCTAAACGGATGAAAGATTCTCATGAGGTGTTTAGATTTTTTTTTTATGATTTGAAAACGTTACAGGAATGGTCAAAATATTTAAGCAAAATGCCTCGACAAGCAATAACATTACTTAAAGCTTTCGTGACTGCAGGAATTCATATTCTTTGGCTCTTTCGGTAAAGCCACTATCTACGTGGCTTTACCGAAAGAGCCAAAGAATAAGCAATAACATGTTGATCTCATAATAGGTCTGAGAGGCTTTGGCAAATGTCAACAATGAGTGGTGTTTAACACACGCGTAATAATGTCTTCATACTCTGCACGATGCCTACGACATGACGGCAACGCAAACCGCTTCGCGTTCACGATAGCGACAAACGTTCGTCTAGGAATAGGGTTTACCCTTGTAACTGGCGTCTTCTGGTCCAACACCAATGGAGACTAGGCTCTAAGAAAAGCCGTCTCGGGTGTGGACCAATCAAATTCAAGAACAGTGCATATTATTATCAGAGTTGTCTTTTTTGTTTGCATTTTGACTGCTTGTGTTGTGGTTATTGCAAACATGATGCCTTGAATAAAGGTGTCAGTTTTTGTGCCAGTTAAAAGGGTAAAATCTATTCCTATATCTTGTTACTGGCAAAGGAGGTCTCATAATGTAAAAAAAACCGTTCGTCTGCTTTTTGTTGTTGTTCATTTAAAGGTGTCAAGCACAAGACGATGTTTGAAGCGTGGAGTGGTGGCGGTTCCATAAGAGCATTTCCCAGGCCGGGCTGCAAAGTCAGCAGCCAGAATGGCAGCGCCGCGGGTTTTGGCCTTCAAGACAAGACCTTTTACTGCGAGATCTGCGACGTCCACGTCAATTCGGAGACGCAGCTGAAACAGGTGTGCCTTCCCGCCCCCGGGAAGCTGTATATAGAGATGTCCGTCACTGTGACGTGTGGTCACCTTAAAGATCTCGGTAGACTGTAGGGGCTTTTGGACAATTACTCGCGGCTACCGATGGGTTAACGGTAAAAGGTGTAGTACTGAAATATGATGCACTGGCAAACTGCCTGCTGTTTTTTTTTGTTACAAAAAAAAAACGCTTTTCGTGTTGTCAGTTTATAGAGGGACGCGTTCATTTATGATATCCAGTAAAACCTTGGATTGCGAGCATAATTCGTTCCGGAAACGTGGTTGTAATCCAAGGCACTCGTAATATCAGTTGTGATTATGTGATGCTCGGCAGACAAAGCGTATACATACTACTCGTATTGCAAGACCTCGCTCGTTTACCAAATTAATATTTATTTACAAATTTTGCTCCTCTTGCAAAATACACTCGCAGACCAAGTTTCTCGCCATCCAAGGTTTTACTCTATTATTTTATCTGCTCGATATTTTCCGATTGGATTTTTTGCCTTTTTTGCATCATTGAACGTGGACTCTGGGCGGTCGATGAAAGACTGTTGCTTCAAGCTGCTCAGTAAAAATAATAAGCAAATGCTTACATCCCTTGAACGTACTTGGGAATAATGCGCGGTGGCACATTCTAGGGTTAAAATCAATGGTGATGGTAGACTTGCAGCCCTGCGATTGCAGAGGGAAGCGTCTTCGCTAAAGAGAGCTCTAGAAAGCCCCTCGTGAAAGGGTATTTCGCATGCTCTTGCACACTGGCTCGACATTTTGGAAGAAGTGGTCGTACCCACACTTTACGCCACCATATGTGACCTACCAATCGACAAACTAAGTTGCCTCTGTGGTAGTAGTTACATTGGAGAAACCAAACGCCATGTCTCGGACCGCATTCGTGAACACAAAGCAGACCTTAAACACGGTAGGACCAACACCTCGGCCGTAGCAGATCATTGTTCTAATTCAGTAGGCTCACATGCCATTGACTTCTCCAAGACAGAGGTTCTTTGTAAGTCATCTGGCTTCCATGAGAGATTCGTTCATGAGGCTATCCACATATACAAGCACAGAGACAATTTCAACCGAGAAGATGGATTCTATCTTAGCAATCATTGGAAAGATTTGATAAACCATTTCAGTTCTTAATTGATTGTTCACGCTTGCAGTGGCTTTCAGACAGCATACATTATATATATATAAAAAATTTCGTCTCCCCCCTCCTCTTTTCAAAATATAGATGGACTAGTCCTGGGTAAACTGCCAATCGCTGCGCGTGACGCTAACGTTTTTATAAATAAATAAATGCGCCGTTTAAAAATAAATTTATGCAAACCAACACACCTGAAGATGACCGTTTGAGTTATGGTCGAAACGTCGTGAGAATTTTTTATTGTTTTATATATATTTTATTATTTTGTTGTTTCTCTTCAACGTGACTTTACCGAAAAAACTAAGAATATGTTCCTATAGTGTTTTAGCATGGGAAACAAAAGTACCCGATATGTATAGCTTTAAAAATGCGCCGCCGATATGCATTGATCATTAATTCAATAATGACGTTTCATTATGTCTCGTGCAATTTCAGTGACGTCAGATTCGCAGTGTGTGTACTGAACAGTTTGCGGATGAAACGGGCACATCCCACAACTCTTGATGGCAACCAGGATGCACAAACACCTTTAATATTGTACGGCCGTTTATCACCGCAGCATATCACGAGCAGGAGACATAAAGACCGATCTGCAGGCAAACCTCCAAAGCCAAAATTTTCTCCATATAACAAGCAACATCGCCACTCCGGCCCTGTCACGGTAAGTTCCAGGCGGACAGTCACACATTCCACATTGTGGACTACCCGAAAGAAATGATCATCTAAACACAATTTTTCATACCATCTGTGTTTTGTTTAGGTTATTATTTGTGGCATGAATCTTCTCATTTAATTGCATACATCTTGCATATATCAAACTCTGATAGAAATTTCGTGCTTGTAGAGTTAAAATGATATCCTTCTAACTTTTCACTAATGCCAGTGGTGACTAGGATTTCCACCTGTCCTGATTTTCCCCGGATCGTCGTAAATTCAAGGAATCTGTCCTGTGTAATCAGTAAGTCTTTTGGGGACATCGCACGTCTCCATTTCGCCAGTTTATCAGTTACATCACAATACATCTTGACTTAAAGCTTTCGTGACTGCAGGAATTCATATTCTTTGGGTCTTTCGGTAAAGTCACGTAGATGGGTTCAAAGAAAATAACAAAAAAGTAACAAACAAAAACTGCGACGATTGCTCGAGTTGTGATCGAAACGTCGTGTTTTTTTGTTGTTATTTTTTTGTTCTTTTCTTTGAACCTATCTACGTGACTTTACCGAAAGACCCAAAGAATATGCATGACAACACACCACTTACGACAAAGCATGTAAATTTAGTCCTCTCCTCTTCCAGTGTTCGAGGAAAAATTGTCAGATATTATTCTTCCCACGATACGTTCTGGTCATTTTCGATCGCAGAGGAGAAACCCGAACGGCGACCGTAAAAAAAAAGACCCATCATTCTGCCTCCGATCCAATACGATTCCAATTGTTTATGCTGTGTGCAAACAAACAAACAGACAGGCAAGGTCTCCTTTCCGAGAGAGCTGCGCGGCAAGCCTCTGGCATTCCTTCCAGCTTCCCTGGCCGCTGCGGCCGCAGCTGCCGCAGCGGCCAACCCGCTGGGCCTGGCTCCCGGGCCGCCCAGCTCGTCCGCTCCATCAATCTTCACGTCGTCCACGCTCGGAGTGGGCCAGCCGTCAGCCATGCTGAGGCCTTCTCCGGGACCCATGCGGCAAGCGCACGGCTCTTTTCTCTTCGCACCTTACTGAGGCATTCCACGCGGGAGTCCGTGGACCAATGTTTTCGCGTGCCGTGTGTGTTCGCTGTGTGCACTGTGTGTCCCTACTGCTGCTGCTAGTCACATGACACCACCCATCGCTTGTGCGCCGTGCCAAACTTCATAAGTGCTTGCTGACGGTACTAGCTAAAAAACGGCATATTAGAGCTACGAGGGTGGGGGGGGTCTTTGTCCTGCTTCTTATTCTAGTCAACAACACAAAATTATAACACGTAAAAGCAATACTCCATTTGTGTGTCCTCACGTGAATACAAATGTGTTTTAGCCCAACATCCTACTGGCTTTGCAGAACACTATTATCCAGCAGCATTTGTTCCAGCAAGCAAACTCTGGATCGTTATCGACATTCTGGGTCTCATCAGCAGAACGCCTCACCAACAGAAGGTTGAAACCAGCCCAGAGTGTTCGTCCTCAAACAATTACTGCTGGACATCGGTCTGGAAAGCCAATAGACTAAAACATTTATCAGTTTTTTATTTATTTGTGGAGATACATCATGGAGTTCTGTTTTTACACGATTGTATCATTGATGCTCCACACAAATGCTTAATGAGTTTGCATACAAAACAAAAGTCTCTTAGAATTAAACATATGGCAGCATATTGCATTCCAATGGCCATGCTTCTATTATATAATTGTTGGCATATTCTGAATTTAGCATTAATTTTATAATGCGCAGCAAATGCCTGGTTCGTGCGCACATATAATATCGCAATTTGATTGTTGTCTAAGATTTACCACGAGGTAATATTTTGTTTATGCGTAAGGGCATCATGCTGCGTATGACACACTCGTGACATTTGTACGATGCGAATTATCGACGGTGTTTTGTTATTCCCCATCTGCGCAACATTTCACAGTGCTTCGTAATTTCAGAGCTTGCTCTGTGTCTGAACACATTGCCAGCAAAAAAGAGACCCATTCGGTCTTTATGGACATGCCTATTGTGCGGTGTCTACACGAAAACACGATCCAACTTTTAAAATAACGTCTCACTTTAAAAAAAAAAGGACAAACATAAATTAAAGGACGTGACGTTGAATTGAACCATCCGCCTCTACCTTTTTTTTTCACCCGGCAACATTTATCCTGCTCGCTCGTCTTCTCGAGATGCACGTCTGTGGCATTTGTAAAAAAAAAAAGACGTCAATGGCACGGTTGTTATTCCACTACGGTTGGTTTTGAAATCGCTGTCTGAGCTGGTTTGCATCTGACCTTCGTGACCTTGGGGAACAAAGCGTTGGCTCCTTCTGTTCACTCAGCTACAGCTGGTTCGTCGTAATGGTGGGGCAAAAAAAAATATCGCAGTGTTTCACTGGGGACTTTGTAGAGCCAATTTTTCTCTGCGTCCTTGTTAAGCGCAGCTCCTCTGCTGCTGCACAGACGGAAATTCAAACCCGCAGATGCGTGTATGAAAGTAAATCTATTTGCATACAGTACCTCTTAACTTGTGCCACCTTTGTGAAGATACCAGGAGCTAAAAATCTCATTAGTGTCGGTGAATTCCTTTCAGAGACCACAAGGGCTTTAATTAGTAAATGGATCATGCCGCGATTAATGATCGTGAACTTGGAATTAGGACTGAGGAGTGAGTGCATATGGTTGGAGAGAAAGAATCATATAATTTTAATAAAGCGTAAATGTGGAACGTTGAGCCATTTAACTTTTATTGGTTTAATTTATTAATGTACGGTATGATATTTACAGTATGGTATTTACAGTATGGAATGAACCACTGGTGGACAGAGAATACAAATGATAAAAAACCCACTAAATTTAGCTGACATCTAATAGCTAATAACTTGATCATCCAGTATATTTACTTAGATGGTGTTATGGTCTGTTATAAGTGATGGGGTTTATATGGTATTTGCTTACTTGTAAAGTCCACCTTTGGAAACAGGCTCGGGAGAGTTGCAATGATTAACACCTTGTACATTACCCTGAAACCCGATTATACGTAAGGCTGTGTAAATGTAAACAGAAATGATTAACAACAAAAATTTAGTTTTAAAGCGCAAGTTTTAATTGCTTTCACACTTTGCTACACAGATGTCCATAATGCAGTATCCATGATTGTGTAAATTGTGTCCCACATGGATGTTTGATTATATACACGAGCACCTGTTCATTGTAGACAGTTATAAATGCAACGTGTTCTGATGAAATTTATTGAGACCCTGTAACTTAGCAATGATGGTTTATTAAATATGCAGAGTTTCGGTTGGCCCGGTAACTCAGACGTGAGAACAACAATGAGCTGGCACCGCTGAGGGCCTGGGTTTAAAGGCCTTTGGTTAGACCGGGTCCTCAAGTCTAATGAGTTAACGGTCTCTGCCCGGTCACCAATTACTCCCCCACCAAAAAAAAAGATCACATCAAATGTGGTTGCTGCAGTCAATTCGGCTTAAATTCCAGCTCAGAGAATGAAAATATCAGATTGAATGTCATTCTCAAACCACACTCTCACATGCAAAGCAAGTGGAAAGCGCTGCCCTCTACTGTGTGTGGATCAGAGGTCCACGGAACTGATCTTGTCAGGTGTTTTGCTGTGATATCCCACTGGTGTGGGCTGTTGTCCGACAGGAAGGGTTGCACTGCTGTGTGTGAGACCCCAAAGGTTACTTCGTCACATGACGTGACGCCGATGGCACAAAGGGGATAACATTGGGGAGGGGGGAGGGGGGCAGGGGACATTTAATAAAAAAGAACATCCACAGTTCATCTCAGTGATGTTTCATTATTATTAAATCGTCTTGTTCTACTTTCATGCAAATTTGGTGTGCAAAGTACGATATTTATCTTGTGAATGTGTGAAATGTATGGACCCTAAATACCTAATCTAGAAAGAATATAGCAATCATAATTGCAAGGACATACACATTCTTATGCTTGGCATAAGTTAAATATTTGCAAATAATGTTATAAATGAAATGATACGCTTATCTACGTAAAGATATTCACGATTTTATTTTTATTTTATTTTTTAATAAGCAAACTAAGAAAAACGTCGGTCAACATCTTGGCTGTAGAATCCTAACGGAGAGATATTTAACCAATGGTACACTTATTAAAATTTACAAATGCTTTCAACAAGAAAACATACAATAGGTTGTACCTTAAGTTGTGTAGATACCACTACTTTTTTCATTAGAACGTATATTTATATGCCTGATTTGCCTTTTAATCTTACAAAATTAAAAATAGTTTTTTATTAATTTGTCCACAAGTGTTTGTTTTGGGCTTCTTTTTTGCAGGTGCAAAAGATCATGGAACTATTGTGACAATTATGTAAATTATATTTTGTATTTGTGTTATATTTAATATTGTATTTTAAAACGATGTGAATAATAATAAATGCAACTGGCTTTACAACAGACACAAATGTACACACATGGCCAGGGTCAGGTCTCGCAAATGCTGTGGCATTGTAAAGACAAAAATCAGCTCGTAAACGACCGTGCATTGCTAATGACATGTTTCATGTCTTGTTCATGTGTATTCAAAGCATAAAAAGCAATAAATGTTATAAATTTGTGTATATACTTTCTACGAGAAGAAAAAGTCAATTATATTTCACAAAGATGTCGCTATATATATTCCTCTGAGCAACACGCATAACCACTAATAATTTTGAATTGAAAACAAAATGAAGAGTTTTATAACATCGCCCACGGAGATACAGCGGTCCTTTGCTTATACAACAAATGGCTGCACGGGACCAAATGTGGATTTATATATAAAGTAAATATATATAATGTTTCGAATCGCATCATATACACAATACGATTGTGCATTAGGTAAGTAGAACACATCTCTTGGTGCAAGTGTTTTGCTGCTTTTGTGGATGTTTTTTTTCATTGTCTACTTGTCCTGAAACGAGGCAGAAACCATCGTCAATTTGATGGATTTCAACTTAGTTTAGCGCACAAATAAGAACAATATATTGTATGTGAGCACTATAAGTTATAAGTTGTGCTTTGCAATGATAAAAACAGTGGGGTTTTTTTCTTCAAAAAGCTATCTTCAGTTGCATCTTTGTCAATCATACAACCGTGCATCAACTTAAAGTGCTGTACAAAAAACGAATATGGTGTAATTGAAAAGCCAGTGTAATGGTTGTACATGTTGTACATTGCTTAATGTGTTAGGAGCATTATTTTTATTAGTGAATGGACCACTGCATTGTTGAAATAGTGGAACTGAAGTTTAATAAAGATGTGATTGTGCGACAAACCGTCTGGTGGAATGTGTAAGCGCCTCATTTCCTCGTTACAATACATGAATCTATCTGTACGTGAACAATACAAACACCTAAAAAAAGCACTGCTCACCTAGGAGCGCCCTACGCAGAAATTATATTCCCGGTCACATAGAATATATCTAGATGCGGCGAGATAAGGGAAATGTAGAGGAAAATTAGAGATGCATTGAAATGAGAAAAGAGAGATACGGAACCAGATAGATTTGAGAGATTAATTGGCATCACGTTATTTATACGTCATGTTTTTTTTAAGGATTTGTATTTTTAGCTGATATTTGAAGCCCCCATATTCAAGAATCTGGAGCCCCTTCGCCGCTTGCTTGGCATGGTCATGACTTGCGGCGCCACCACTAAAATCACTTTTGTACATTTTGCTTGCAATAACTACTCGTGCCATTTGCTGATGAAACACACAGCTGTGGAATCGTGTTAAATGCACACCGTGAAGATGACGCAAGGAGAAGAGTCGATCTTCTCTTCGCCCTGACAAAAGATTAGGCCAAAAAGAAGGATGTTTCTGGTGTAGGCCATGGAGTTGCAAAGACAATGAATACATTATCAGAGTTTGTTCGCATGTTCACCACAAGTCCGTGTGGTTAAAGTAGATTTGATTCCTTGCATAAGGTATCTATTTGGTGTTTGAACATCTTAATACTTGTTTTATTTCCAGAAAAGGTAAAACCTATTCTAATTTTTCATACTTTGATACTCACAAAAAATGTCCCATAATGCACGTCACAGATTGTCAACCACCAAACAACTATGTACATTAGAAAGTGCAGTGTTTGTTTTTTTGCAAAGCCCACTTAAAAAAAGTTGTGGAAAGTTAAGCACTAATTAGTTTGACTTTGTGTGTAGATGCAGTCGGCGGTTTGCACACACAGTAACAGCAATAAGGAATGATGAATGTGCCACTGAGATGTCGCGGCACAAGTGCGATTTTCGTTTCACAACGTGTAAATAGGATGGGCAAGGAGTGTTCTCAGCTAAACTTAACAATACAAATAATGTGTTCATCAAGTTTATGCGCGTACTGTACGTGTGTTGAACTTCTTTCGCACCGCACGTAGCCAACCGTGCGAACTGGAGGCGCGATTATATTTCAGTGTAAATGTACACCCATAGCCGGATCGTGCGATTGTTGTGGGTTTGTTTTGATTGATAAACGAAAAAGTAAAAGCGCAGCCGTGCAATCCCTTGCTCGGGCCACTGTTGGTGGAAGGGCCTCCACTCGACGGAGCTCTCGAGAGCCCCTCTAGAGGATATGTTTTTGGACGACTCTTCCACGCTGATCAGGAATTTCGGAAGAGGTGGGAGTCCCCACACCTTAGCCCGTCACACGTGACCCGCTGATCGCCTACCTTGATTGATAATAGTATCTATATTTTGAATACATTATAGGTAAATGTATTTTCCAAATAATCAGTGGAGAAGGAATTATCACGAAATGTTATTGACGCTTATAATTTTCTCAGGGGGTGAATTCCCTTTTGGTCTCATTGACAGAAATGAGCAATCACTTTGCAATCATGACAGACAGTAGCAGCCCCTAGTTACCTTGGCACAAGAAAGCTAGCTTGTTGTGGATTTATTTCCGGAGCCGATTATTGTAATCTTGTTCAAATGTACTGCAGACGAATTACACAAAAGAACATTACCTTTGGAGGGTGCATACTCCCACCATCGCGTACACCTCTTTCAAATGTAAATACAAACTAAAATAACAACATGCGTTTCAAGTTAATGAGCTGTTGTGTGCTGTTGCCGTACCAGACCTAATTTGCCGAACTAACATTGAATACACAAACAGGTGAAGCTGCTCAAGCATCTTAGCGTTCCCTCTAAGCTAGGACTGGTTCTTCTCAAAATGTATGTGCTTTACTTACGGAATCTTCGCCAGATTAATGCTGTAAAAATGAAAAGTTACACCACTGCTTGGCAGAAGGGCCTCCAACTACAGGGAGCCCCAGAGATGCCCTCTGGAAAGTAACCTGGTCGCCTCTTTCACGTTGAATTTCGAACTTCTTTCGCACCCTACGTAGCCAACCGTGCTAATCGGAGGTGCGGGGGAAGGATAGCAAACTAAACGCAGTTCTAAAGAAATGAATTTTCAACCTAGGTTTCATGATGGCCAGGCATCGTGAAAGAGGTGGGAGTTACCGACACTTTACCCCACCACACACGACCTGCTGAATGACTGTGGTGTACCCATTGGTGCTGCCTGGTGGGCAAGAGGTGTGACGAGATGTTAACTACCTCGCCTGGTATACAGGAGGTCGTGCATTTGATCTCGACCGTGACGTCTGTATTTTTAGAGTTTGCATGTTTTCCACGTGTTCACGTGGATTTCCCCTCCACATTAGAAACATTCATTTCGTTTTTGGTCTGCTATACATTTCCACATGATAAGCCACTTCGTTGAGATATCATTTGTGGCCAGGTCCCTTCTGAAAAAGAGCTATACAGTTCATTTGGCCTTAAGTGTTAAAGTAAAAATAGACAGCTTAGATAAATATGATGTAAGAAGCATGCCCATTGCTTCGCCGGCAGATCGAACCGGCAACATCCGGATTACAAGACCACGGCAACATCACCACCACCACCACCACCCAGGATTATATTTGTCTAAAATATACAAACGTACATAGTTATTTCGTTTTTAAAGAAAAGATGGTAGAATGAAAACACCATCTGTTTACTGAGGCAGACCATTGATTCCATATGGTATTCATTTGTTCCATATTGTAAAACCCCATTCTTTTTTGACCATTGATCTTGCTTTTAATCTCCAAGGATTTTACAGGACCCTGGGGCACCTTTCCTAAAAAGGTCACGATTGATTATAATTAGAGTGAAATCTCCTTCTCCTATCCTTATACGGACCGCATCTCTCTCAAGTCTCAAGCATTCATTGGCCAAATGTGCTCACGTTCATTGTTTCTTATCCAGTGTTTTCAAGGGTTCTTTTTAGTGGATAATTAAAATTATTGCGTTTGAGATATATTCACACGTGAGCTCAAGTTAGTACCATATATCTCGTTTACAACGAGCCGTTGTTTTGGGTTTCGTGCAGAATGAATTCATTACGAGCGGTTAATTTGGCACCAACATGGGCACACACAGTGGCTGTTTTCTTGCCAGAAATAACGCTCCGCGATACGTTAACATCCCCAAACAAGCAGCAGAGACAGGCTTAATGACCATCCCACAGGACCACCGGTGTTTTTTTTATTTGCAGCACTGACAACGCATTACTAAGTGGATATGGATGGTGGGGTGGGGTGGGGGGCATGGGTGGGAAAGGTAGTGCCACTCAGCCTTTCCCAACATCATGTTCGACATTCTTATTTCTTGATTCCTATGATTATTTGTTTACCTCTTTCAAATGATATTCAAATCGTTTAATTGGTATAATTTCAAGAGATGAGGTATCGGTACGCATCTTCTGCAGTGCAGCACTTTGTTTTAGGAGAACGGCCCATGGAAGTGGATATCACGGAACCACCGTTGAGATTTAAATTTCGATTTAAAGCTTTCGTGACTGCAAGGATTCATCTTCTTTGGTTCTTTCGGTAAAGTCACGTAGAATGAGAATAAAATAATAAATTAATCAAATAAAATAACACAATACAATTCTCGCTGTCCTCCAGACAGTCTCGTCCCTTCACCTGATGAAGGCCGCTTGTGTTGTGGCCGAAACGTCGTGAGAATATTATTGTGTTATTTTATCAATTTATTATTTTATTCTCATTCTACGTGACTTTACCGAAAGAACCAAAGAAGATCTATGCGAATTCCTTTGTCAAGGCGCTTTGTTTCTTCTCACACAGCTATAAGGTCGCGATCTGAGCGTGGCTTTTTCGCTCCAGCGCTGTCCTCCAGACAGTCTCGTCCCTTCACCTGATGAAGGCCGCTTGTGTTGTGGCCGAAACGTCGTCAGAATTTTATTGTGTTATTTTATTTTATCAATTTATTATTTTATTCCAGTGGCAGCACACAATCGAGGGCAGCACTCTCAAACCCACCCTGCCACAGAGAGTATTGTTAGTCACGTGACATTGAAATCAGGTACATGTATATTTTAATATATATTTATTCTCAGAGGTGGGATTTAAGTATCTGAAAATAAATGTATCACGCGTGTTTATGGCACCGTGTAATACATCCTTTATTGCATACAAATTACTTTAAGATAGCTTGTTTTGATCCACACATTAGGGAGCCAATGTTGTCACACATCGCATTACAGTCATGCTCACATCTCTTTGTTCATTCTCAGTGCTGGAATAGAGTCAAAGTGAGTGCAAAAACAAATATTTTGCAATATTTAATTTTAATATGTGCGTGCGCCGTCATTGGTGACCGGGGTTGAGACCATCAACTCTCTATACCTCCGGTTTAATCACGGCAGGCTGAAAGCTGTATTAAAACCCAGGATCTCAGCGGTGTCAGCTTATTGCTCTGACCGCACATCATCTGCCCAAGCTGAACATAGTAATTTCCAATCAATCTCTTTACATTAACAACATTTTCCATTATATGTGCGCTTTAAAAGGGTCTTGCGAAAAAAAAAACACGCAACATAATTTGAAGCCTTGCTCTTAAGTTATTGCAATATATTTCCCATGCCATACCCATGCTATTTTTATGCATAGCCACTGTGTGGAAATACCATCAATCAAACATTTCAGTTTCAAGACGGGTTATTGTGATGAAATGTTTTTTTTGTTATCGTGTCACCAGCGCTGGCCAGATGAATACATTACCGAAGTAGCAGGCTTTGAAAGTGACCAAAACATCTCCCTTTGCATCCCGATTCTTTTTTGTAATGTATTTTTTATGAGTTTCAAAGGGTTCTTTTTTCATTCCAGCGATTGTGTCAGTTGCTACAGTCCTGCTCAAGGAGGATGTAATTCAAACAGCCGTACTTGGCACAATTTGAAACGGGTAATTCATCATGCAACGCTTAATA